AATGGGTGCTTAGATTCCCCAAGCCTGTGAGTGGTGACTGCACTGGTTCTTGCCTCTATATTTTTGGGGACCTTCCAGCAGATGAAACTGTATAGACAGGAGGAGCTTATGTAGTTGGGAGGAATTTGATATTTGCCTGTCAGAGGAATTCCTGAGACCTGCAAGGAGAGCGAGCTGCTAACATGGGTGTTGGGAAGGAGATTTGGACCCCAAGGCACACAGCAAACGCTCTCCTGCACTGAGCAGTAGAATTTTCTGCAGTAATGGACATGTTCTATAGCTGTGCTGTCCAAGTGGAGTCATATGTGGTTACAAAGCACTTGACAGGTGACTGATGTGATGAGGGAAGTGAATTTTTAGTTTAATTTTTAAACAAATGTAAATAACTATACAAGGTAGTGGCCTACCATGTCGGACCAAGCAGCTGTAGTGTTAGGAAAGGCTGGAAATGACATTATCTTGTAAATTTCTTGCAATGAATCCAGAGAATCTGTACTCCAAGAAATATGCATAAATGTGACATTTTCCTGTTTTTTCATACATTCATAATGGCAAGGGAGTGGGAAAGTTATGAACAGTCTTGTTCATGGAATCAAAGAAGGATTGTGTTACAGTGAATTGTTGTATATGTCTGTCCTTAGGATTCATTCTGCCAGCTCCATTTTAGCAGAAATAACACTGAATAATAATACTGAAGCATAAACAATGTAATTGGAACACTTGCTGTCAACATTAAATCCAACTTTAAACTAGAAAGGAAAACACAAACTCTCCTTACCCTTTTCCTGTCGAGGGTCCAATTCAGGTCTTAAATTCCATAAACATAATACTGAGGCACCAAGCACAGAAATGGGCCTCTAGTAGGAAGGACAAGTGTGCAAAAAATATATCTATCCATCCATCCACCCATCCATCCATCCATCCATCCATTCATTCATCTATCCATTCATCTGTCCGCCATGCATCCATCCCTCCATCATCACACCCATGCATCCATGTATACCTCCTCCATGCAATCATGCACACATGTATCCATCATCCTATGTCCTCTTTGTGACGATCCCTCTGCCCTATCATCCACCCATCCTTCCATCAATCCATCCATCCACCCATCTATTTATTCCCTGAATCTATTTACTGATTCACAAAAAAATAGCTTTTCTCTCATTTACCCAAGTAATGAGAGCCTAATAGAAAGGAAAAGATAAGAAGCAGTTGACTGAATAATACATTTAACAGTAAGCTTTCAGGTGAGAAAAAGGAGGAAGGGCAATAAGAATGAGAATAGTATACATTAATTAACCATAATTTTAATTAACCAATATTTATTGCTCATCCATTTGGTATAGGAAATCATGTGAGGCACTGTGAAAGATATAAGAATATGTAAGAAATTTCCTCCTTTACCATTCTTAATAATCTACTTAAAAAGTTAAAGCAATGAATACATGAGTCTAAAATATATATATATTATATATATATTGAAAACAGCAAGATTAAAGATGTCACAAGGTAATTCATGCCTCACATAATACAAGCCTCATGTTTAGAAAAGGGTCAGAGAATCTGGGCTAGAATGTTCCAACATAGGGGAATTTGAGTCAGATTCTGAATGGGAAGCAAGATGACAGATAAAAATCCCAAGAGTTCAAAACTTGAAGGGAACTTAGAAATAATCTGGCTCAACTGCTCATTTTAAAGGTGATTTAACTAAGGTCAGAGAGTTAAGTGACTTGGTCCGGCTCCCTCATCTGGGTAGTAATGGCAGAAGAGTCTACAGTGCAGGGCTGTTGATGGCCGTCTTCCGGCCTACACATCCCCTGGGAGGGAGAGGAGAGTCTCCCACCTAGAAGGGAGAAAGCATTCCGGAGAGTGGGCAGGACACAGCAGAGCAAGGAAGCGGAGCCAGAAGTGTACGTGAGGACGTCAGTGTGTGCGCAAGGGGAAGAAACACGGAAGGGGACCCGGCACCCACTGTGAAGGGGCTTGAATGCAAATCTGCAATTTGTCAGCTGTTGAAACCCAGAATTCTGGTTTCTAGGATTGCCTTGAAGTCTCCCTTGGACAAGAGGGACCGAGTATGGGCTCTGCTGGTCAGCTTCAGGGGGCCGGGGAAGCATGACCTTTGCTGCCCACCCTCAGAAACCCTAATCCAGTAGACTTAGGATGGAGGCTAAGAATCTGGGTATTTGTAAAGTTCCCCAATGATCACGATGACCACCCAGTTTGAGGGTCTTCTGGTTCACCCTTCTACCAACCTACCCAATGTAGACGACCACTCAGGAAAACTCCGACAGTGTTTACCAGGCAAATGCCCCGTATGATCCGGCATTTCTGCTCTCAGGTATACACCAAGAGAAAGAAACTGCGTTGCAGAAAAGCATGAATAAGCCTCTCCAGAGCAGGTTACGATCACCCCAAACTGGAAATGACCACTGTCCACCAGTATTACTAGGGTGGATAAACTGAGGTAGGTTCATACAGTGAAATGCTACCCAACACATGAAAAAGAACACACCCTGATATAAGACTGGGCTTGTACTTTGAAAGCTCCAGTAATTGGTGTGTAACATCAAACAAAGTGAATAACATTCTTCCATGGAGATTAAATTCTTCTATAAAACACAAATAAAACAAACTAAAAAGCACAGGCTGTGGCGACGTGCGCCGGCGAGAATGGCTGTCCTGGACATGACGCCAAGTGGAAGACGTATGGCTCCATTCACAGCAGATTAAAGCAGGCAAGAACAATCTATGGCGATTGAACCCAGACTAGTTTAAACCCCGGTTTGCCTGCCCCCGGGGAGGGTATTAACTGAAACCGGCAATAAAAACCCTTCTGGGTGCTGGAACTGTCCTGTGTCCCCATCCGCGTGGCGGGTCTCTTCTACTGACATGGGCGAAAACATATCGAGCTGTGTGTGTGCCCTTGTTCCCTCTCGCACAGATAGAGCTCGTTGAGCCGGGAGAAGTACAAATACTGTGTATGTGTCTTATAAATAGTGGCCCCGCCCACCTCAGGAAGTTGTTCTGAGAATCCAACAGCTTTTAAAAAATGAGATCAATAAATAATCTTACCTTATTTAACTAGCTCGATACTTATTCCTGTTGAAATTGTTTAGATGCCCTACCTGTGCTTCAGGTGATCCATCAGCTTTTGTTTAAGCCTTAGCAAAACACGAGTTAGTTACATGGACGCTCACCCTCATTTTTGAACCCAGGAAAGAGCCGCAGTAACTCCCAACTTACACAGGACACCCCGGAGCTGCCAGAGGGGTCCAACCGGCTTCCCAGGGCCCGGTCTGACACTCCAGAGAAGGCTCCCGCAGCTGCAGCCTTCCATTCTGCACCCTCGCTCTCCTGTCTGGTCCACGTCCCACCCCCGGGAGACAGTAAACACCATCTGCACCACCGCACGCACCAACCCGGAAAACAGTCTCATCTTCCCATCAAGAAAATTACCCTCAATCTGGGCTCCCTTGGCCACTGGTAACGAGCCACAGCCCTCTGCCAGCTCCCAAGTTTGCCAGCCCCGAGTCCACACACGAGACCGCGGAGGCGAAGCCCTGGCGGGCGTGTGTGCAGGGTGAGGGCGCTGGAGGTGAGTGTGGGGAATGGAGAGACCCCCGCAGTGAGGGCGAGGCGCGAGCCTCATTTCTGGGCTATTCTGTTTCACTTTTTGAAAGTGCCCTGTGTGCTGAGCAGTGAACTTCAGGCAGCTAAGTATAAACACATGTCTACAAACCCTGATAACACTATCTTTATTTGTCCATTGCTCGGCAAAGCCAGATCACCTAGGGACTGTTTGTTCCTCTACAATGAGAATCCAGCACCAGGTGTATTAAAATGTGGGCCATTTTCTGCAGAGTATCAACTTTCCAGAGCTGCTTCTGTGCCTTGCTGGGTCCACGCTCAGATCCTTACGTAGCATGAACAGCATAACAGCCAGTTGGGTTTAAAATAGGAATTTATCATCTCTGGTTTATTGTACCCATTTTTCTTAATTTGATCATATAGTCTCTGATGTGCCTGAGACCCTATTCATTACTGTGTTCAATTTCTAGAGCTCAGAGGACCAGAAGATACGCTCGGCCGTTTGTGTGAGCAACCTGCAGCTATTTCCTGGCTGGCTGATTCAAGCAAGTGGTTGTTACTTGACAGCTGCTTGACAAATGTGTATAAGAGTGACTAGATGTGAATTTCTCCGCGATATTGTCACACAGGAAATGCATTTCACAAATGTGTGCATTTCCCGGAATAAAACACGCTATCGGGCTCCATCCTTTGCCCCTCCCCCCAAAGGAGACCCCCCCCAAAGGCAATGTATGTGGAAATACATCAGAAAAACATGAAAATTAGAAATCGACCTTGAATGGAGCTTTCTTAGGGGGAAAAAAGCAAATAATGCTAGATTTCACTTGAGATACTTAGCAAACCAACACACAAACTGCTCAGCGACAGACAGCCAAATACAAAACCAGCTGTGAAAAAAGTTAAACTGTCCGAGGAAAATGAATTTCAAGGAGAAGCTGCCTATTTTCTCCTCTTTGTGATTTCTGGAAGGATATTTTGCAGAAGAAATACAACCGGACTTCGCTCTCTGAAGATTTTGAATTGCTTCTAAGAAGCTTTTGCCCAGGGTTTAAACCCTCAGGTGTGATTGTTTCATTGACCTCACCGGTCCATTAATTTTACAGGGAGGGAGAAGTTAGAGAAAGGCCATGTTAACTTGATCGCCTCCAGAAGATGCACCTCAACCTCAGGTTTCCAGAGATGATTTTTCTCTCACCACCTCCTTCTGTGCTGGACATCCCCTCACTGCCCCCCCCTCTTAAAACAACTTGTCAATCTCAGAAAGTAATCCCCAGAGCAAAACCATGCCTGAAGGGGAAGCTGAGTTTGAATAAGACTTCCCTTCGTGCCAACCGCTCTGCCCATCCCAGCGTGGCACCTGGGCATTCCCCCCCTCGGAGAGAAGGCAACTTTTACGCAGGACTTACCTGTCTGCCGAGAGAGCTGTGAGCGTGAAGACAGACACCCCCACCGAGGTAAGCTGGATAAAGGGGATCAGTTTGCACCCGATCCTGCCAAACAGCCATCTGTCGGCCAGGTACCTGCTGGCATCCACCGGGGCACACGTCACCAGGAGGAGCAGGTCTCCCAGCGCCAGGCTGGAGATGAACAGGTTGGGCACGTTTCGCATGGACTTCACGGTGCAGAAGATCTTGATCAGGGTGATGTTGCCCACGAGGCCGATGAGAATGATGAGCCCATAAACCACAGGGATGACATAGAGGACCCCCGGGTGGAGCCAGTCATCACTCGTGGGGGGCTCCCCGCCGGCACTGGAGTCGTTGTAGGACACCCAGCGGCTCTCCTTCAAGTTGGGGAAAGAAGCATTCCGAGCCATGCTCTCCATCCGGCCCCCCGGAAAAGTGCCTTTAGATGCTGTGGCTTAACTTTGGACTTTCCAAGTGGGCGAAGGTGGTAAAACTGAGGCTGGGTTCTTCTTTCCTCACAGTCTTGCTTTCATCCTCTTTCACAAAAATGCCCTGAGCCCACGGACGCGGCGGCGTGTGAGCCCGTCACGGCTTCGACGCTGTGCTCTTCTGGCCTGCAGGCACCGGCCGGCACCGCTCCAAATCCAGAAGTTAACAGCTCAGCCCCCAAAGGCTTAGAATTAAACTTGCTCTCTGTCCATTCTTTCTGCCTCCATGCTGGCCTGAGTGCCCCTGGCTGCTTTTGCACTAAGAACTGAGAACTTTTGACCTGCTATTTTCACACGGCATTTCCTGTCTTTCCTGATATTTAGAACCTGAAGGTTTAAAGTGGGCAGAAAAAAACGGCACTGAGTAAGCCTCAAATCCTATAGGCAGGATGCTTTGCACGTCACCAGCTTCACCAGCAAACTGCAGCTCCGCTGAGCTGAGGCTCTGACAAGGAACCGGGGCTACTTATAGACAGAGAATGCCAGCCCCCTGCTGGACGCTTCGATCACTGCCCAGTTGCCTGCTCTCCCGGGAGAGCGACCAGTGGCTGCGGTTCCTAAGGTCTGTGAAGTTTAGCAGACTTTGGCTTCAAGATCTAGCACCCAGGAGGTATTTAACAAGTGATGCCCGCACCCTGCAAACGCACGGCCCATCTTCCCATATTATGCCCATGGACCCAGATGGGACATCCCGTCTCCTCGTCCTGTCTGATCCATCAGAATGACAAGTCGAGGCTGCGATCAAATGAATGGGAGGGATGCTCTCTCTGCGTGAAATGCTCAGCTGTACAGGGAGTCCCTCTGGGAGCTGTCCTGCCCAGCCCTCCCGCCGCCCCTTTGGAGAGGACTGCTACTGGGGAGAAGCAGGCACAGCACACGTGCCTCAAGGCTTCTGTAACTGACAGCTGGGAAAACCAGGAGCAGAATACACACATGGTCTTTCCTGTAGATTCGCCAGGCCATGTTGCTCCCTTCACCAAGGAGAAAGTAAAGCAGGAGCCAGCCATTATCTTAACTTTCAAAGATCAGTTGTCAGAAAATGGGTCTTTTCTCATGGGGTCTAAAAATCACGCGAACTGGTGTTTTGGTGTAGCTATTTGCAATTCACAATGGTTGCTTGCCTTATTTTATGGCAAATCTCCTCTTAAGTCTGGATGGGAAATGAACTGTAAGAGGAACAGATAGAATGCCGAGGAATTGGGGAGTAGAAGGAAATAATAGAGGTGACAGGATGTGGGGGAAGGTTTTATTGAGGAAGTACTTTTAGAATTGAGCTTAGATTGTCACGTGGAGCCAGCTCTTCCAGGGACATCACAGGAAGCTAGTTACGAATAGGCATTGCTGTGAAGGTGGGTGGGTCAGGATTCATAAGGAATATAGCAGCTCACACTTATCACCATGCCAGGGCTTACCAAGAAAGCCTCCACATGTGTTGTCATGGAAATTTCCAGAGGCAGCTTACAACACTAAGATGGCTGCCATGTTCCTTCCATAAATACAAAGGACTGTGGTCATCTCCACCAGCAGTAGAGTTGATGTCACATGCTTGGAGAGGGGTGAGCTTCGCAGGGGGGATCAGGACCACCATAATGAACCAATAACTCATTGAGCCCAGTGGTGTTGATTAGTGGCTAGCAGTATCACTTGGTAATCCCCTGCTTGGGCTCTGTGCTTGAATCTTGGCTCCCTCATTTATTACCTTGGCAAGTTATAAAGTATCTTAAGTTTTAAGCTCCTCATCTGGCTTATTTTGCATACAGCTCCATCCATTGCTGCAAATGACATGAGTTCATCTTTTTTGATTGCTGAGTAGTATTCCACTGTGTGTATATACCACATCTTACAAGAAGGGTTTTCACTTGGATCCTGTAAATATTTCTGTTTGTTCTATACTGGATTAATAATTTTGCTTCTCAAAGTTGCTGTGGCTTTCTTTGCTGATCATTTACCTGGCTTCCTCTCAACAACGATTACTTTTGGCATTGGTTTTGTTGTCATCAGTGGAAAGATAATCTTTCATGAATTATGCCAAGCTGTAGAGGAAATCACAACTATAAGATTAGAAGAGTTAGCAAGGCATCCAACTGTCTAGAGTCATCCTGAGCATACTGGTATCATCAGCCAGTACCTGGCATATAATAAACCCGGTTATCTTTGGGCCTCTGAACCTTCTGAAAGTTCCTTGAGTATTGTTTAAATAGAAATAATCTCTGTCTTAAAAAAAAAAAAAAAAGGCCCAGCAATTTAGATCCTATTCTCTCCCCAGCATGAAGCAATTATCTTTCCTCCAGAAAAGATGACATTTGTTCTTAACGGCTAAGTGTTTGGTAGGATCATTTGAACAGAGAAAATAGTATGTACGTAGGAAGGAGGCAGGGAAGGAAGAGCAGCACGGTACTGAGCAGGGGACAGCCACAAGTCCAGAGAGGTCATCCATATTCAAAGGTGGGTGGTGGGAAAAGAACTGTGTGCAATGCAGCCAGAGACACGTTTGGGCAAGATTGTGATGCACCTTGTTTTCTTGTTCAGAAATTTAGTCTAGAGGGCATGTATAAAGAAGACTCCTGGCTGTTGATTTCCTCCATTTCTTTGAATGCTCCTGTGGGTTGAGTTAACTTCACTTCTTAAATCCAACTGGGCCGTGACAGTTTCTTCCCATATAAGTGAAGCTGATACTGATACGTACTCCAGTCTCATGGCTGGTGTTAGCATTGTGTGCTGCACAGCGCTAGATAATCTGTTTTAATGGTCTTGAAGGGGGGAAGATACATTGAGGTTCAAGACTTAATATTTTCTGGGAATAAGGAGGTCTTCAAAATCTAATTAGAGAATTTTGATGTCATTCAATTGATTGGCTATAATGACTCTTTCATATGTCACCTTCCAGCAGCTCACCAAACATATTCAGACACTTGCTTAGCTTTTTATTTATTGGTGCACATGAATGGTCTCTGACTAATAAAAATGACATGGAACAAATACAATACAAAGTCCCTGTCCTCGGGGTCTCCGGTTTCCGAACAGAATCGGAGTGTGACTCAGCATCCTTTCTCAGGTCAGGGCTGGGATGTCGTTTCCACTCTGTTTGTCAAGGAGGAGAGGGTGAGCATTTACGACATTGTTGCTATGGGCTCTTGCTGACCAAAGTGTGGTCCTTGAGGCAGCAACACAGGCATCACTTGAGATACTGTCAGAAATGCAGACTCCCAGGACCACCCCAGACCTCCTGAGTCATGACCTGCATTTTAACAAGATCCCCAGGCATACATGTGCCCATGAAAGCCTGAGATGTGCTCCTGTGGGCATTAGGAAGATGTGGCAGAAGAGGTTAAGAAACTGGCCAACAGCTGGGGACAAATAGGAGCGTGGAATCTCAAGCAGAGAATGAAACCAGCAACCGGACCCACTTGGAGTTGAACGATGAACTACTGAGTTGGCACTTTTGATATCCACGTTGATGACTGGGAATTGTCCCAGATTATATTGCAGGTAAGCTGATCCTACAACAGGGGCCAGAGTCCCATTGCTAATGTAGGGCATGTAGGTAGTGGAGAAGCCCCAGAAGGTGGGTTTTTTTGGCTCATGAATCAGAAAATAACGAGAGGGCAAGAGGGAGGCCATCCTGGAGGGGGTGTTAACTCTGGATCTAGGCGAACTGAATTCACTCTACGAACGAGGGAGAGTAAGGAAGTCAATGGGAATGACGGCTCAAGCAGAGAGGTAAATAGTAAGAGGACTGGCCGAGACAGAAGATGCTGAATGCCAAATAGTTGAAACATGGAGAGGAAGGCTCACGAGAATCACGGGAAGTTGGGCTTTGAGGACAAGGTCATGGGGTAAAAGTCAGCGGGTACTGAGCATGATTTCAATATTCTAATTGTGACAGCGCCTTGGGGAAGCTGCTGAAGAGATTGCAGAAACCCTTGCTTGAGAAGAACCAGAGATGCCAAATTTTAGAGCTAGATCAGGAACAGATGAGACAGATGACTAGATCCAGAGCCTGTAATGTTGGGATCGTTTCAAGTTCCTTCTTCTTCTTCTTTTTTTTTTTTTTTTCATTTATTTATACATGCACTGGGTACAGTCAGAAGCGCGGGAGGGTGAGAGAATTCACCAGAGCCAGAGCAGGGAGCAGAGCAGGCAGAAGGACCGAGGTACACTGCTGAGGGGAGCAGCGGGCGGCAGGAGAGGTCTGCGCGCCATGTGGGACCCTCCTCTGGTGGCCGGGGAGCAGCCGGGGATCGAACCAGCGCAGCAGAGGCTGCGGGCAGCTTCACAACCCAGCGCTCAACCACTGCGCCACCGGGGAGGCCCTCAAGTTCCCTCTTCTTGTTGTAACATTTTGTGCCTTTTCATGGAACTTGAAAACTTAAAGGAGAGATGGGGCCAGTCTTCTGAAAGAGTCAAGTTTCATTTTGTGCCACTGAAACTGCTGAAGTAAATCTATAGATGCCCAGAGAAAGTCTAGAATGATTGATCAGTGGCACTATTAACCTTGATCACCTAGTTTGGGTGGAGTCCGCCAAGATTCTCCTCTGTAAAGTTATTATCATAGGGGAGAGATTCTTCTTATTTACCAGAAACATGATTGTGCTCACATCTAAATAAGGAACCATGTGGACATTATATAGGCACTCAACACCATTTATATTAAATGCCACTCCTTGCCAGACCCAGTTCTAGACCCTGCAAGTACAAAAATCAACAAGCAATGGTCCCTACCCTCAAGAAGCTAATTGCCTATCTAGAAAACATTTTCAACTTCTTTAAAGAAAGCTACTTTATACTATTTACCATAGCCAAGTTATGGAAGCAACCTAAGTGCCCCGTGACACATGAGTGGCTAAAGAAGATGTAGTATATATATACATGCTCAGTTATAAAGAAGATAAAATATTGCCATTTGCAAGAACATGGATGAACCTTGAGGGGATGATGCTGAGTGCAAATAAATCAGATAGAGAAAGATAAACACTGGATGATGGTCACTCATGTGGAATATAAAGGAAGAAAGCAAAGGAACAGACAAAGCTAAATCAAAGCAAACCCTAGATTTCTGACTGCAGAACTGAGGCTACCAGAGGGGGAGGGTGGGTGTGGGGAGCAATTATGGCAGGGGTCTAATGGTCTATTGGTAGATGGGGTGGAGGGTTTACGGGTGCTTTGGTGGTGACCATGGTATAGTAACACACATCTGTAACCCACCATTACTTCAATAAAAAAAGATATAAAAACTAGTTCATAAATAAACCTTTCCTTCGTTGTGTGAAGACCTTTAGTTGTATAGAGAGTTTAGGG